TACACCGCCGAAATTAATTATGCGACTGTAAATCCTCTGTTAACTGCGGAGCTACATGCCGATGGTTGTCTTGATTGAGACGGGAGAAAGAGTGAAATTTTGCGAGACACTTTCTCGCCGAGGGCCGGGCAGTATGCCGCTGCTGTTGCCGCTGCTGGATACGCATGTAATTTCCGACTTGCGTGCGAAATGAGATATGCACGCGAATCGGTACGCCCGAACGGCGTGGCGCGCGCGTTTAGCGCGCCGACTTCTATTCATCTGCAGGAACGAAATGCATTGCAGTTGAAATTTGACTGCGCTCTGGCGTGAATTTCATACGGATGTAAATTTATGTTAAAGCAATTTAGGAAATATATTCTTGGGTTTTCGCTGTGTTGCTCACCGGCAAAATTTAAATAATATCGAGAGCATATTAAGAACGCGAAATTCGGACGAATTTATCGGATGGTTCGCCCTGAGAAAACTTTATATATATGATTATGGGAGAGACACAAAAATATCATTATCGGAGTATATCGCAATGAGGGAGAGGTATAGTTATGTATATCGATTACTTTCGTTATTGTTCAACTGGACATTCACTAAAAATATTTATATCCAACTACTGATTAAGAATTAATGCTAACTCAATTTTTGAAGTCACGTTAGAAGACAAGATTTAAAATACCAGTAACCGAAATAAACCGAAATAATAGAAAGTTCCTTGAGTAGATTAACTAATAGTGAGATATGAAACGGCACATAAAGAGCAAGCACGAATGTCTTAGTGCTATTAAATACTAATATTACTTTTTAATATTAATATGTGGGAGGATAAAATTGTCCAGTAACCGAAATGTCAGAAATACAATATCTATGATATTTGTTCCTCTGGTTATTTCCATGCTTGCAACTGAATATTTGATCGAAAGAAAGAAACGAGAAGTTTTCTCTTATTTTATTTGCGGAAATTTCACGTTTTGGTGATATTGTGCAGTATCGATTTCAATAGCGATTAAAAGCTGAAATACGTTAGTAGACACGAAAGGAATACAATAACGCGTGTCTTTTGGCAGCCTTTCTCCACGGTTCGACGAAAAAGCGACGAAAGGAGCCGACAGCGATTAGACCGAGCGGGGAACGGGTGAGAAACGCGAAAACGGAACGCCTTCGTAATCCTTGTAAATAACGCGCTTTGTATTAATTTATGGACGACGACCAGTCGGCTAACGTCGAGTCGAGACGTCGTTACGATGATATACGCTTACAAGGGGTGTTATTTGGATTTCATTACGTGCCGCAGCCGACGCTCGGATGGTTCGTCCCACACGTCGAATATAACGTGTCTCGACATCCCCGAGAAACTCTTGCTGCAGAACGCAAAATGACAAAGCGACGCGGAACCTTTTTTTCCGGGCAGAGGTGCGTGTATATCCGTCGAATTTGTCGCGGATTGATTTCAGCGCGGCACGGAAATCTGTTAATCGGTCGCGCCGTGCAATTTTCGCTGTCGCGCGCGAATCCGCAATTTTTCGACACGATAAATACTTGATGCCGCGGCGGCGGCGACCAATCGCACCGATACGAAAAGGAAATATGGCTAGCGCGTATTCGGACGATCCCGCCGGCCGAAATTCAGCCGGCCGGCTAATTGCGCGGACTTTTTCGCTTTTCACGTTTCATCCCTTTTTTTCCTCTTTTTGTTTTTTACGGAAAAACCGCCCGATCGAGATAGAGAGGTAGTAAAAGGCACGCGCCCGTTCGCACACGCGCTGCGAGAGGGCTAAGGGTCGATATTTTTTATTGTCGCTTAAATCCCCTTATCAACAGCCGACAGACAACGAGATAAAAAGGGTATAAAGCCTCGGACTTAATGATACCTGTCTGACGGTAGATTACTTTTACTACTGCCGCTCGTTCTCACCACCACGATTGGGGCGATCTCCCCGACTCCGGAGGTTCCTCCAGACCGTCTGGTGATTCTAAAAAGCAGGTGCAGTCGTAGTTCTTCGTCCACTCCTCCCCCTCTACTTCTTTCCCTCTCTCTCTTTCTTTCTTCCCCTCATTCGTCTCTCGTTTTCTCGCTCACTCCCCCACGATTGCACTTTTTTCTTTCTTATTGTGTACTTCTTGCTTCACTCTTTCTCTCTCTCTCGCTCTCTCTCTTTCTGTCCTTCATTGTCCACGTTTCTCTCGTTCCGACGTTTCTTCTCGTTCTCATTTTCCGCGCATCGTCGTGCCTCCCTCTGTTTCTTCCTCACGATCTCGCTCGCTCTCCGCGAACGCTATTGGGGTTTACGGTTACGGTTAAGTAGAGGGCAATGAGATCGTATCGTTTTCCGAACGATTTGGCTAATCGAGTGTCGGTGGCTCCGCC